GAGAGAGAGAGAGAGAAAGACTACCTAACAAATTTATAAAAAATAAATTATTTAGTATAATTTTATCTATTTTATCTATATTAATGCAAATGGTACATTAAAATAATTATAAACTTTTTTGTTTCAATATTATTAAAAAATAAGTCATAACATGTGCGGAGAAGTTTATTAAATATTAAATTTTATCAACGCGATCATACTTGTCTTTCATAAATACTATTCCATAACTTGCATATTTACATAATTTCAAATTTTTAATAAAAGAAGAAAAAATTATTCTCCTTAAAATATAATTACATTACGCTCAAGAATTCGGACTGATAATATTAACTAAATCTTTTCTTACTTAATATTAATGACGAAAAATTAATATAAAATTTAAATAAAAATAAATTTATTGCAAAAATTTATATAAACACAATATTTTATTTGCTTTAATGTACTTAATAATAGTAAATATGCTATTTATCTATACTCTGTTTAGCATTCTGTATGTAATTATGCGTGAAAAATCTAGAGAAAATTAAATTTTATAATCATATTTTTTCTTATGTAAGAATATAATTCTGTCGCATATATGTTTTTAAAATTGTTTAATAAAGGAATCAATTACTTTTTAAAATGCAATATAAATTTGTAAAATTAAAAATATTGATGTTTTTTTGATTAATCTGTTACCAATAATATAAAAGGGACAAAAAATTCTGATTAAAATAAGTCTCTGATAAAAATTGTGAATATAATCTTCGTTTTTTCTAAAAAAAAATAAATTTTTAAATCATTATGAACATTATTTTTATAATTTTATAATATTTTTATAATTTATTTTGTTACTAATACTGTAATGCTTATGAAATAGAAGATTTTTTTATAAAGTCTTACCTTTGTAAAATTACAAGTAAAGATACAAGTGCGTGTAATTCTACATATAAGATCTAAAGAAAATAAAGTTCATGATTTTATACTTCTCTTACGTAAATATTTATCTGCTAATGTTAAAATTTTAATAAAAAGAGAAAAATTAATTATTTACAACAAACTACATAATTGCATAAAGTTAAAATATAATAATATTAATATTTTATTATTACTAACGTTAAATTAAGAAGAAAAATGAGACTTCAGACTTAACTAAAATTCTACTTATTGAATTCTGTTTATTTCAAAGAAAGAATAAATTCTGCCAATCATTAATTTTATTTTTAAATCTTGTTTTGGCACTGATATTAAGGTACTTTTTATATAGCATATTCTTTTCACAGAACAATGCACTTGCAAAAGTTATTTAATGCAAACACGTAATTCATTTATTGATACAAAAATAAATTTTTTGTATTTTAGTGAAAAAAAGAGGAAAGAGAATTTTATCTTTATTTTTTAATTAATGTATAAAAAATTTTTCTTTTTGAATATGAAATCTAATTTTAAATGCCATTGAAATATATCTAACAACTTGAAATGAATAAATCATGATTATTGATTGTAATCATAACATAAAAACAGGCTATTAAATCAATATATATAAGAATATACATGAATGTATGTACGTATGTAAGAATGTATGTACGTATATATACAAGAATGTATGTACGTATTGAAGAAACAGGATAATTCTAAACTCCTCTACCTTGTATCCCACTCTTCTAGTTTCATTGAAAATTGAAAATTAATTCTCTTCCTGCTCTGTTCTCCCACTTTAACATTGCTACATAATTAGATGACTTAGATGTGCGCAGAATAAAAAAATGAATAAAACATATGATACAATATTTGTGTTCAAATAAGAGGGAGTGTTGAGAGGGAGATTTTAAAATAGAGGGATTCTGCAACATATAAAACTCCGATTCATTTGTATTACTTCTGATTTATATCCGCTGTACAATCATCAGAATCGTTTTTGTGTGATATCAGAAGCTACCAGTGCTATTCTGCAGAAAAATCTTTATTTAGAAGATGATCGCTACACTCTTTGCTTTTGCGATTGTAACAGCACATGTTGCAGCGGAGATACGTAAGTAAATAAGAATATTTTCCATTTATTCATACCATCATGATGTATGTACACACACACACACACACATATATATATACAACATTAATTTTATATGTGCAACATTAATTTAAATTTAAATTTTAAATTTAAAGTATAAAGAATACACATATTATTTTTTCTTTTTTATTATGTACTAGATCAACTCTTTTCGCGATAATCATACATTTGAAAATGTTATAAATTCAAAAATATCTATAATTTTTTTCTTAAAAATAAATTTAATGTTAACATTTTATATAATGTAAACATAACATATAATGTTAATTAACTGCAACAATTATATATAAATACTTATTGATTATTTATTTAGTTTCCATTGTTATACATTTTACAGCTTTTATTTAAAACATGGAATTCTCAATATATATATTCTTTTTGCAATGTTTAATTTCAATCGATTATAATTTTGGAATATTTTAACTTGAACCTAATTTATAATTAATAGACTTAATTATTACAACTTATATTAAACAGCAAAGTAGTTTAACAGCAAATGGTAGATTAAAAAAGTAATTTAAACTTTTTATAGCTTCCTATATTCATGTATGTGGTCGTAAAGATCCAAATTATGATCAATGCATCACAGATAATATCAACAATATAAAGGATAAAATCTGCTCAGGAATGTCGGAATTTAACATTCTTCCAATTGAACCAATTATTATTGATAAAATAATTATTTACGATACAGATAATCTTAAGCTATCTGTCAAAGATATAAAAATAAATGGATTTTGCGATTTCGTTGTAAACTTCGTTCATACAGATTCTGAGAAGCTTCATTTCAATTTTGATGTCTTATTCAAGCATCTTTTCATGAACGCCACATATGATTTTGACGTACGTGTATTGGTATCTCTTGCTAATAAGGGATTAATATACATTTTTTCAGGTATATAAAATAGACGATTTTACATTAAAATAAAACGAAAGTTTAAAGTTGATTTTAGTATAATAAAATTCAAAGTTTAATATTGTATTATATTATATTATTGAAGTTACTAGACGACATGTTTTTTGCAGATAACGTAAGTGGGAAAATAAATTTAGATTTGAACGTAGTAACAAAGGATGGTAAAAAATATATATATGCCTCGAAAGCAAACACAAATCTAAATATTAAGACGTATGATTATAAATTTGACGACAGTGAAAAAAACATGGTTGAATTGCATAAAATCCTTTCTGATACCATAAAACAAAATGAAAAAGAGATTTTTGACAAAATTATACCAGCACTAGAAGAGAAAGTTTCTACAATAATCATTCCACTCTTCAACAATATAACCTACTCTAAATACGAGGAATTGTTTCCCGAAGAAGTTTAAAAAAATAATTAAAAAATTTTTTAAAATTTATTGTTGCAAAATCTCTATATGTATCTTATGATTCAAATAAAAAATTATATATATTATGTAAAGTACATAAATTAATAGCAATATAATATTTTATAGCAATATTTTAAAGATTGGCAATATATTTTATTTAAGTTGGATAAGAAAAGTTGTTTTATCATATAGATATATTGCTATACTTGTATGAAATAATAGATAAATAAAAAGATTTTTTATCTTTATATTATTTTATTTTTATATTACGAGCTATACCTTTTGAGATAAAAAAGAATATAAAATTATAACATTTGCAACATATATAATAATTACAAAATTATTAAAAAATATTATATATTATACTTTTTGTCATTTTAATATTATTTTACATATATTTATGACATACAAAATTTGAAATTATTATATACATTTTATTTTTATAGATCAAATAAACACATTATGTTATTTGAAATTATATAGAATATTTAAACTTTTCTAAAAGAAAATTTTAATATTTTTGCTGCTTGTAGAATTAATTTAATTTTAATTTAAACATGACATATTGTTATTTAAATGCTTTTAAAATATGATCCTGAATTTAGAATAACTGAACAAACAAAGAGAAAAAAAATGATTGACAAAATTAATAAAAGAATATACTTATATGTATTATAAAAACTAATCTATCCAATATTTATTAATACTAAAGCCTGTTTTGTTGAGTTTTAAACTGGTTTTCTGGTAAAATGAAAATCAATTCTTTTTCTTTCCTTTATGTTTATCATATGATCATGTGACCATGTGTAGACAAAGATGTCTAGCGAAATACAAAAAATAAAATGCAGAATAACATTTTTATTTTACATGTGTGCCATTAGCGAGAAATAAGAGGATTGAGAGGAGATCTTAAAATGGAAGGATTTCGTAGTATATAGGTTTCGAATGGTTGCGAATACATTTATTAAGATTTCTCTAGTGGCACTGAAAAGTACTATCTTATAGAAAAATGTTTATTACGTTTTTTATTTCTATCCTTGTGACAGCGTATGTTACAGCGGAACTACGTGAGTAAATGAAAATTTTTATTATTATATAATTGTTTTATTATTATATAATATTATATAGTACAATTATTATATAATTGTACTATATGACAGTATATGTAAAATTTTTATTATATAATTAGTTAAAAAGTTTTTGTTAAATATTTGTAAAGGATAAGAATTGGAGTAGAACGATGTTTAAAACATAATATTTCATTTAAGTGTCAATTTTAATAAAAAAGAAACATTCTTATAATTGTAATTTGTTAGTGTCGGTTACATCACGATGATTTTGTTCCTATCTGATATATATTGTAATAATAGAATAATGATAATAGTATTACGATAATAGTATTAGGCTATATTTAGTAAATGGTAAAAATAATGATCATATAATAGCGACAAAATAACATACATATTAAAAAAAAGAATTAAAAGTAGTTGCATTTTAATTATAATTTACATGTATTACATGTATTTAATCAAGATAATGATAGAAATTATCATTTCCAACAAGGGCGAATTTATTTGTAATTTGACATTATTTCGTGAACTTGTTATAAATTTAATACATGCAATACTATAAGAAAAAGTATATTTTAATAAATTAAAGAATAAAAATATTGTGTAAAAACTTTATGTGATAATAATAGAAAAATGTTTTACTATACGTTAATCTGTTAATAATTATATAATATATAAAAGTATGAGTTTAAGTTTAATAATTTGATCAAAAGTCACATATCACATTATATTATTATATTGATTTGATTTTTTATCGTTGTTTTTAAAATTGTCACAAAATTAATATTATTATCTCTAAAAGAAGACAAAATTTAAATAGAATTTTATTTACAAGATAAAATAACATGTTTAATAAATGATTTATTACAGAAACATGTATTTCAACAATTCAAATAATAAAAAGATGAATAGTAACGTTAAAAATCTTACTTGTTATAAACACCGTGACATTAATTTTACCTCAAAAATAAAAAACGTCTTTATCAAATTGTATCAATTAATGTTGCTTTGTATTATTAGAAGTTCTTTTTACATAATATATAAATAAATTATTGTTAATTTAATATTAATAATAGCTTGAGTTTTATAATTATGAAAATAATTACATTTATTAAAAAAATTAATTTAATTTTGATTGATTAATCAAGAATAATATGAAATAAATTTATTTCTTATTTATTTTTATACAATATTTCGTCACTGCATACTTCACATCTTCAGAATGTGAAATCTTCAAGAATCAAAATTCATAATCATGTTTCTTGCAAGTAATAATGAAGAGGTACAATAACAGATTAAGAATTTAAATGTAGTTTTAATTTATGATAATTGCTATAATCTATGTGACATTTATTTATGTCGAGTTAAAAAGCAAGTTGCGAAATAAATGTCAATATTAGCTGAATTATGAAACTCAATAAAACGATTTTCATCCATAGACGTATACGCATATTTATAGCTTTAAACGTATAAATTCTCATTGTCTCAAACATTTGTCAATGTTTTACTTTAACCATTTATAATCTATTGTGATTAATAGTTACTTTTTATGTTTCCTATGTTAGAAATTAAATTATATACTATTATTCTTTATTTTATAATTATATCATAAACTTTAAAATTTATAAATCATTTGTACAATTTCAGAAATATTTTCTATGTAGATCTTGCGTGATTAATATTACATATTGATAACAAATTTTATTAAAAATATATTATAAATATAATTATATCGTAATTTTTACATTAAAAATTTTTAACTAAGAAAAATAATGTAAACTTTTTACAGCTTCTTATCTTCATCCGTGTGGCCGCAAAGAACCAAATTATGATCAGTGCATCGCGAATAATGTTGAAAATCTAAAGGATAAAATCTGCATAGGGATTCCAGAACTAAACATTTTACCAAACGAGCCACTTATTATTAAAAAATTAGTTATTTACGATGCTCCCAATACCAAATTGTATCTTAGAGATGGTAAAATAAGTGGATTTTGCGATTTTTGTCGTTAATTCTGTTCACGGAGATCCTGACAAACTTCATTATGATTTTGATCTTTTTATGAAACATCTTCGAATGAATACCACGTATGATTTTGACATACGTTTATTGGTGGATATCGCTCACAAGGGTATTGTTCACGTTACTATGGGTACGTAAAAATTGATCTTATATTAAACTAAAACAAAAATTTAATCTTATTTTAACATTAAGATTTTAAATTTGATTTTATTTTATTAAAATTATTAATAATTATTAATAATTTTTTTCAGATAACGTGAGAGCAAAAATAGGAATAGATATGAAAGTAATAACTAAAAATGACAAAAAATATATATATATATCAAAAATGAATACGATTCTCACTTTGACAGAATTTACCTATAAATTTGATGAGAGCGAAAAGGAAATGATTCAATTGCATGAAATAATTAATAATGTTATACAGAACGATAAAAAGAATATTGTTAGTAAAGTTAAACCGGCACTGGAAGAGACGGTTACTAAACGCATTATTTCAATATTAAATGATGCATTTTATACTCGTTATGAGGAAATATTTCCCGAAAGAACATAAGTTGTTTAGCATTTGTTGAGTTCGCTTTGTGTTTTTAATTTTGCCATAAATTGTATTATGATATTTTAATATTTCAGCTGGATTTTCAGTAAAGAAACATTATTTAATTATTATTGTTACAGTATATATTGTAAAAGTAAAAGCATAAATTTGTATAGAATAGAATAATTAATTAGACATTTTCTTTGTCCTTGTGTATCTTGTATTTTACATTTATTGGAACAAAAATTTGGAATGAAGAAATATACACAGTAGACTGTTTGACCGGGATTATTATTTTTTGTAATAATTAGCACATTATGACAAATATATTTTTAATAAAATCATTAAAAAGTATCATTAGTACAAAAGGACACATAATATTAAAAATAACTGGTCAATTTTATATATATATATATATAAAATTGACCAGTTTACATCAATCTTATTTCGTGTTCGCCATGTGTTTACTAGCATTTTTCTCGCGTTCTGCCAGAAAATTTTTTCGCGTATGATGTTTACTACACTCTTTGCTTTTGCACTTATTGCAGCACATATTGCAGCAAAATTACATAAGTAAATTAAAATATTTATTTATTGTTCTTTTTATTAAAAAACAGTACTTAATAATTATCAATTATCATAAAATTTACTACTATATACTATAATACTAATATTTAAATTTATTATAAATATAATTGTAATCTAAATAATTAAATATATAAATTATATATTATATATTATATTTTTACATGTATCTAGATAGGATTTTTATTATTTTTTAAAAATGTATTATTGACGTGAAGTCAAAAACTTGAATCATTATTATTTTAATTTATTGTCTATGATAATATTCTATTCTAATTTCTTAATAAGAAATCAATACTGTGATTTTGATATATTTGTTCACACTTATTGACAACAACAAATGGTTTATATTATTTCAGATATGTAATCAATATAAAATTAAAATAGAAGACGAAAATTTATCTTAATGTAAGTTTAATATTAAATTTGTCTAATGTATTTATCTATTTATTTAATGTAAAAGATTTTCAAAGTTTAATATTATTTTATTGAAGGTGCCATACTATGTCTTTTTGCAGACGTGGAAATAAAAATAAATATTGACTAAAAAGAGATAAATAAAAATGGTAAAAAAACTTACGTATCAAAATTAAACATAAATCTTGACATCTGATTAAATTAATTTAATTAAAATTAAAAGAAATTATTTAATTGTATGAAATATTTAAAAATATCAGACAATTTAGACAAAGACAATCAGATAAAAAGAAGTTATTAAAAAAGTTAGGTCATTACAAGAAATATTACCGAAAATATTAATTTCAACCTTCAATATTCTATTATCATTCTAAATTATTTTCTAAGAAGAAAAATATGTTTAAAATATCTTTAAAACGATAAAATCTATTTCTGCATCTCATGATTGGAAAGAATAACAATTTTTCATAATATTTTGAAAATTAATAATAAAAATCTTATTTACATTGCTAAATGAAAACATGCATCATTCATTAATTGCAGGTTTATATTGAATAATAAATATATATATACATATAACTGGAGAACTGCTCATATGAGAACCTGTCGATAAAGTTAATACATTACATTCACATTTTAATTTAGTAAGGAAAAGTTATAGTACAATATAATAAAATTACTGTATATATATATTTATTAAATGCATGTAAATTTATTTATAAATTACAATTATCAATCAAACATAATATAATATTATTTGCATTTAATATAAAATTATTGATATTATTATTATAAATATATAGAAGATTTATAACATTATTTATATCATTATTTATAACATTATTTATAACATTATTTATATACTTGTAATAAATTTAAAAATGAATAAATTTTTGTATATAATTAAAGATATGTTGTGAAACAATGTTTTTCTTAATACAAGAAACAATAAATGGAAGAGCGCACAGTCTGCCTTATATAATTTATATGTTAAATTTATATGTTATACTAATAATAACATATATTAAGAAAAACATCTAAAAGCCAAATTTATAATAAAACATCTGAAATATATTTTTGTTGATTGTTATAATTTTTACGCAGATTTCTTATAATGTTTCACTTTTTCGAGACGAGATAAATTATTATATTGGCTGATCTCGATCTCAAAAAAATCTCGATAACCTTGTCTCGGTCTCAATAGCTTGATCTCGTCTCGGCCTTGTCTTGGTCTCGTTTCAATTGCTAAATAATATTGTATTATATTGTATTATTATTTTTATAAATTATTGTATAATATTGTACGATATCATTATTATTATTATAAACTCTTTCAATGCCGAAAGACATGAAATAAATGCAAATGTATGCATTACACAATAACAAAGACAGCGTTTCCAAGTTGCAATTATGTATCGATACACGTGCATCGATACTAACTACTCGTGCATCGATACGAACGAAATAGATTCATATTTAGGAAATGGTAGAATTAATAGAGACGTCGACATTATCGAATGGTGGAAATATAATCAGACAATCCAAAATATCCATGCTTAGCAAAGATGGCGCGTATTTTATTATTGCATATTTTATATTTACGATTAAAAAGACAGCAATCATAGATATAGAATTAATAATAATAAAATGTTTCAAAATAAAATAATTAATCAAATAATCAATAAAAAAATAATTACACATTTTTATATCTTATATAATTAACATGTATTATAGATAACATTTAAAATTTAAATCTTAATATATTATGTAATAGTTTCTAATATCTAGATTAATAATTCTTTTAAAATAGCAATTTTTCTTCTTTTTGCGTTGCTCTTCCACTTCATATTTGCATAATCATACGCAGAGGTAAAAAACCGCATAAAACTTAGAATACACATTTACATTCTACACATGTGCCATTAGAAAAAATAAAGATTGAATGGAGATTTTAAAATAGGGGGATTCAATGATATAAACACTAGATCAGTACGCGGTGCTCTTAATTCATGTACGTTCGTTTTATCGTACGTTTGTTAGAAGCGTGTTAATATAGTATAGTTTTGAAAGATGTTACGCTACAAAAACATTTATTTTGTCTGGAATGTTGTTGTTACACTTTTTATTCATGTTCTCGTAACAGCACATGCAACAGAACTACGTAAGTAAATCAAACTTGCTATATATTTATTTTGCATTATAATATAAAAGATTCAATTATTTATTAAAAGTCTTTATTTATATTATACTCGCACAAAATGTGAATACATTAAATTTTATTTTAACATACAGAGTAATAGTACATTATTTGTCTTACTAAATTTTAATAATTTAAATAGAAGGAAATAGAAAGAATTGTATTTGTGTAATTATTTATTCTTATAATAAATATTGTATTTATTGTACTAGACATTACAAACGCGCGCTGCACGCGCGCTGTTTATCTTTTACAACACAAGAGCAAAAATCAATATAATACTATTACACTATTGTTACACTATAATATTTTTAACTACTTGATACACAATTCAAAACAATCCTCTGTGAGATCAATACAATGATACCTATTCATGAAGTTAGCGCAGCGAGAGAAGCAATCGGCATCGCGGAAAAGCGCCAACAATAAAGTTCGAGAAATGCGAGGAATCGATGTCATGCCTTTTTTTAGAAAGGATATTATAGAATATTTATTATAAATAAACAATAATAATAATAAACAATAATAAACAATCATATAATCACTACTATTTTTTTTCTAAATAACATTTTTTTCTTAAATAAAAAAACGAATATACTGGTCTTAAATTCGTATCAAGGAGTTATTATTTTATATTATTATTATTTTATACTATAAACAGTTCTTATCACGATTTAATGTTTCATATGTTTTATTGCTAAATGTTACGGATATTAATGATACGAATAAGTTTGTTTGTTATGAATAAATAACGTTTATTAATTGTAAATGCAATAATATAAATCAAAGATATAATAAACCAAAAATATTATATTATTCAAATAACAAAATGTAATACGTAACAGATATCAAATTATTGTCTTTTGTACAAATATTTCGTTATTGTTAGATTTTATATTTCTTGTCCAAGAAATGTGAAATCTTGTGAAATCTTCAAATAAAATAATGTTTTAAACTCTTACTTCTTAGTTATAATTGCTGAGATGTATAATTCATAATAGATTAAAATTTTAAATTTTGTTTTAATTTATGATATAAACTACGCAGCTTCATAATTGATATAAACTACGCAGCTTCATAATGAATTAAAACGGAAAACTAGTTGAGCAATAAAAATCGAGCTGACTTGTAGAAACTAATAGAGTAGTTAGTATCGATGCACGTGTATCGATACATAATTGCAACTTGGAAACGCTGTCTTTTTTTATTGTGTAATGCATACATTTGCATTTATTTCATGTCTTTCGGCATTGAAAGAGTTTATAATAATAATAATGATATCGTACAATATTATACAATAATTTATAAAAATAATAATACAATATAATACAATATTATCTAGCAAGATCTTGTCATCAATCTAATAAAAATTAATAATGTAGTAATGTTATTTTATATTTTATATAAGTATTATCTATATTATTTTGTCTAATCATTAGATCTATTTTTTACATTTTATAACTCTATTAGAATTATTCATTAGCTTAGTAAAAGGAAAAATTCTGTTAATGTATAATATTTAATATTTACTTATATCTTTGATATTAGTGTAATTTTAAGGCTTATATTGTATTTATGTTGTATTATAAATATCTTATACAAGTTTCTTACGATATTTTAAATATAATGATAAAAATATAGAGAAGAAACAGACTAATAAAAAATAAACAAAAACTATGTCAGTTTTATGTCCATTATTTCAATAAAAAGCAATTATTTAAAGTTGAATTTATTATCATTTTATATTAAATTTGATTAAATTTAAAGTTATAAATTAATAAATAATTAATTTAAATTTAAATTTTTTACAGCTTCTTATATTCATCCATGTGGTCGTAAAGATCCTAACTATGATCAATGTGTCTTAGACAACATTAACAGCCTAAAGAGTAAGATCTGCACAGGAATGCCGGAATTTAACATTCCTCCGATCGATATAATAGCTGTTGATAAAATAACTGTCTTTGACACGGATAATCTGAAATTATTTTGGAAAGATGTAAAACTTACTGGATTCTGTGAAGTTAGCATAAATTTTGTTCGCGCAGATCCTGACAAACTCCATTTTAATATAAGTGCTGTTTTGAAGAATCTCCGCATGGACTGCTTATATGATTTTGATATACGTATATTGCTGTCTATTGCTCATTCGGGATCAAGTACCATTACATTAGGTATGTAGATTAAATAATTTTTTTATCAAAATAAAATCTTAATAAACTTTATTTTATTACAATACATTTTAAACTCAATTTTACTTTATCGAAATTAATAGATTCTGTTCTTTTGCAGATGAAGTAGGACTGGAAATAAACATGGATTTAAAAGTGGCGACCAAAAATAGCGAAAAGCAAATATATGCTTCGAAAGTAAACACAAATGTCAATGTCATAAAATTCGAATATAAAATTAATAATATTGGAAATGAATCGGCTCAAGTGTTACAAATTCTCAATGAATTCGTAAACAACAATAAGCAAGTTCTTCTAAATAATGTTGTATCAGTACTAGAAAAAGAGATCTCCAAAAAAATCATTTTTACTTTTAACAGTATAACTCATTCCAATTACGAGAAACTGTTTCCTGAAAAAGCATGACTTGACTAAAACTTTGAGATTTTGTAATATTAAAAATATTAAAGTTAACGAGAATGTTTTAAAATTATAAATAAATTAAAGTTGTTTTTGATATCACAAAAGAGAATTGATATATTTTCACTTATAATTGCGTTAGTCGCTTAGCTATTATAGATTTCCACAATATAGAAATTGCTTCCCGATACGTTATAAACATGGCTGTATATGATATAATTAGTTGATATTAATAAGTTAATTATTATTTAATAAGTTAATTATTATAAAATTTAAACTGTTACAAACAATAGAATTAATTAATTGTTTTAATTGAGTTGCTTAAAAAAAGAAATAAAATTTGTTATTATATGTTTTTGACATATAAATGTTTAGTAATACGTAATTATGCTTTTTACTGTTCTATTGTAATTTGTTGTTCTATCATAACTGTGACTTTGAAATCTTTAAAGAAAGAAAAAAGAGATAATTTTTTTATGACGTATTGCATAATTTGCAGTTTTTGATATTTATTATATTATTTACTGATATTCAATTAAAAAAATACAAATTAAATTTTTAAATTGAATTGAATATTTGAATTAATCTGATCTTAAATTGATGCATGAAAATAATAGACATATATCCTTTTCAAAAAGAAATATTTTGTATTATTTCATTAACTACATCTTTGCAATTTTAACTTCGGAGCAAAAAAAGAATAGAGATCGGCTGAGTATGATGACTCTATTATATATAGATACAATTTTAAAATGACGATCACATACTAAAAATTATCTTACTAGCAAAGTAAGAGCAAAATCAATCAGTACTACTACTAGCACTTTTTCAATCATATTTTCTTTATTAAAAATTACTAATTTTTATCGATCTGCAAACATAACCTTTATATGTTTTGAACAAATTTTTATTTATATAGAATAGTTATACGCTCTATTATTATACATTGTTTATATATTAAAATAAAGAGTTGTTTTCTTGTAGAGAAAGATTTCGATGTGAATTAATAAGGCATGTTAGCTGCCGAATTTCGAAGCAAATGACAATATAATTACAGTTTATAATTTATGTAAAAGAAAAAGAATTTAAAAAATTTTAAAAATAGATTACTACGAACCTATATGGTATAACACAATATAAATAAAGGAGAAGAGCATGTATATATAAGTTCGCTTGATTCACGTGAATCAGAATACAATACCGTAAAATTATTATGTTTGCAAAATTTCTTTAATAATATAAAAAATTCTTAGAAAGATCATAAAGGAGCAACCATGAATAAATGTTGGCTGTAATTTTTGTTACTAAAATTGTGATAACACATGTTGCAACAGAATTACGTAAATAAATATGTGCTTGTTTATCAAATATTTATTATGTTCACGATATTTTGTATATTCATACGAACAGCATAATATATTTTGAGCACTTTCTATTTGCATCTTAGTTAATATAAATTAATCGTCGAATCGTGAGCGCGTATCTGCACGGCCTACTGATAAATGACACGAGCGAGATATGTCCCGTCTAATGTTATTATGCATTAGGAGCGTGACGAATATTTAGAGATATGCTGTAAACAGATATTCTGTGATTTGAAAACTTCACGACTAAATATCTCATCGTCCTCCTATTAACTGCGTCTTGAACGGCTGCATTTGCATTAGCCGATGAGCCGGTGCTCAGATCATTCGACGATTTTTTGAGTGATAAAACATTCCACTCAAACTACAATAATTTTTGCTGAGTAAAATAATATAAGAGTAAAGAAATATAAAGTCTGGCATTATCTTAATGAAAGATGACACCTTTTCGATTGATTCCAATTCGAGACGTTTCTCGTTGATCATTTAAACTCTTCTCTTCGTCTGATTGGGCATAGTATCCGAATTAAGCCTTTCACCTTGTAGAAAGAAATAAACAATGCCTTTCCAATCCCTTTCCCACCAGATACACAGCATAACCTTCTTTAGATGCAGATCAGCATTTGGAATTAATGGCATTTAGAATTACCTTGTTTGCGCCGTAATCATACGTTTCAAAAATTATTTGTTTTCGTTGCATTTGAGGAGCGAATCACAGATGGAAATGTAATTTATTATATTTTTTCGATCAATAAAGCACTCAAATATAGTAGCAAATTATATAGTCAAGTATTTTTAAATGCTGCGCAACGCTCGAGCTAGATATATGGTGTATTTCCGCGATATCTCGTGTCGTGTAGGGTGCATTATTTTCAATTAACTGCAATTTGATCATCATCTAACATTGAAGGTCCACCTGAGCGTTTTTGGTCTTTGACGTAAAATCATCACGTTTGAAATAAGCAAACCGTTTCCGAACAATTCTTTTAGCTACTACATAAGCTCCGTAAACGGAAATTACAAGGATACAAATCTTTTTTGAGCAAGAACGGAAATTCTTAGAGAAATAAAGAAGGCAAGAAATTCTTGCCTTTTTTGAAGTAAAATGAGATAGCATAATGTATCAAAAATGCACCTTATTTTCTTTCATTTTCAAATTGATGTAAAATTAATAAAACTCAATCGATCCGAATGTTCTTATTTGTACCAGATATATGCATAAGTTTTTTCCGGTTTAACTAAGAGATGTCGCCAGCGAAAAGTACACAGCGTATTAATTTGACACATACATCATTTTGTTCGTCTGACATTTAAAACTACAAACACACACAAGTTGAGTCCGCCAAAAACTAGCGTCTTTGTTTTATCGTTCAGTGATCATGTCGAGTTTTGTGCCTGAAAAAGAACATTTGCGGCACGCATTGCTTTTTTTATTTAATCAAAAGAAAAAGGCTGTTGAAAGTCATCGTTTGCTGGTAGAAACATATGATGAACACGTTCCATCGATTAAAACATGTGAGACATGGTTTCGACAATTTAAAAGTGGTGATTTCAATGTGAAAGATAGTGAACGCTCTGATAGACCACAAAAATGCGAAGACGAGCAATTGCAGGAGTTATTGGATGATGACCCAACTCAAATTCAACGGCAATTAGCAGAAGCATTACATGTATCACAAGAAACGATCAGCAGACGTTTACGAGTAATGGGAAAGATCAATAAACTCGGTAAATGGGTCCCACACGATTTGAATGAACGTCAAATGGAAAATCGCAAAGTCACTTGTGAAATGCTGCTTCAACGCCACGAAAGGAAATCATTTTTGTATCGAATTGTGACGGGTGACGAAAAATGGATTTATTTTGGAAACCCGAAGCGGAAAAAATCGTGGCTTTCACCTGGCGAAGCCGGTCCATCAACACCAAGGCTAAATCGCTTCGGCAAGAAGACTATGCTCTGTGTCTGGTGGGACCAGAGCGGTATTGTGTATTATGAACTCTTGAAGCCCGGCGAAAACCGTTAATACACAACGCTATTGCCAACAAATGATTAATTTAAACCACGCATTAATCGAAAGACGACCGGAATGGGCCAGAAGACATGGCAAAGTGATTTTGTTACACGACAATGCGCCGTCTCACACAGCAAAACCAGTGAAAGACACCTTGAAATCGCTTGGATGGGACATCCTTCCGCACCCGCCGTACTCCCCAGACCTGGCGCCATCTGACTATCACCTCTTCGCATCAATGAGGCACGCGCTCGCAGAGCAGCACTTCAGCAATTTCGAGGAAGTTGGAAATGGCTCGACG